ATGACAACATGACAGACGGGTGGTGGAATCAGGAAATAGACAAACAGTCAAATTAATCGGACAAAGCCTTCATGGCATGACCACGGGGGTGGCATACAAATGGGCAGACACTTGGTTTTTCTTTAGCTTCCTTCTCCTGCCACTTGTCCAAACATAACTGGGTCAAGACAGCTGAGAGCTGGAATGCATGGGACTTTCCAGTGCTCGCGTCAGACTTCCAGTACAATGAGTGAAGGTGGTGAACTTAACATGAACAGGGGCTGAGCTCCAGACAGCCAAGGCCAACGAAACAAGTTCTGAGGAAGCACACACTCCAATGTTCAAGAAGACTTTTCTAACGTTTGCTGCCACAGGCATCAGGCCCAAGAGGTACAACCTCAAGGACATGTCTGACTTCTTTGGACCATTCTAAGATGTAGCGCATCTGAACCTTCAAACTTGAAAAGAATGGGTTTCCCAATTTTTCTCAAGTGGTTCCAGATTCAAATAACAAGTGTATGTATCTTGAGGAGAGCTGAAGGCTCCCTGGGCTGCAAGGGACACTTCAAACGCTGTCCACCCTCCAAGGTCTCTCCCTGGTGACTTGCTGATTGCCTGGTAGTTAAGCCTGCTGGCGTAGGCACACTGCCATTCTGGGCAGTGGCTCAAGGCCCAAGGCCACTTTGTGATCACTCTGGCGGGGGCACGGGCTGAGTATAGATCCTGCCACAAGCAATTCTTCGAGATCTTTTATGGAGACCGGTAGGGTAACATAATGCCTTGTGCTTACAGGCCTCTGTGTTAAAAGAAAAAGTCTTCCATCCAGGCCCTGGGACCCTGAGTCTTATCCCAACACTGGCCCAGCCTGCCAGCACTTACCGACATGTGGTTTTAATGTAGCGTGTGCTTTCACTGAGGTAAATCACAGGCTTGGTGGACTCTGTCCTCTTTGTTTTACTACAACCTGTGGTTTGACTGCCGAAAAGGAAAAGTGATACATACCCCAGCTTACAAGTTCTCCACCCGGGTACAGATGGACTTGTAAATTGCTTCTAATATCTGAATTATCACAGAAGGCTAAATATAAAACCACATAAATTTTCCAAGCAGCCTGCCGGCCTCATTCCCAGCTCGGGACTTCTCACAGCCTCACATTTGCTGCCGACCACGCGCTCCTCCCACCTGCCGCTCCCGTGCTTCATGGCCTACTACCTCCCCAGCTTTGGCCTCGCATCCTGCACTCTTCAGGCCTAGGGGCAATTAGGACTCAGCAGCACGAAACTGCAGGGGCTGCGTAAATCAGACCTGCACAGCAAGTCTGCAGGCACCTTGTTAAACTAAAGCACTCAGCCGCAGGAGTCCACTGCATCTCACACCCAGTCTCTGTGGGGCCTCCTTTCTGATGTTTGCTGAAATCAGATGTGGGGGCCGCACTTGAGAGCAGTCTGAATGGCAGCCCAGCCAATCAACTGCACTGAAATGGGCCAAACCGCTAGGGCATTTGCACAGCGTCGTAACATCCCCGTTTTCTGAAGAGTGCTTTAAACGGTTCCAAGCTCCATGGACACACATCTTAGACTGAATTACATGTTCCTTTTTACAAAAGTGAAAATACAAAAGACACCCCCAAGTATTCAATCACCCTGGAAAGAATGTAACAGGGGTATACCTTCTCCCTCGAAGCGTTATTTACAGGTTATTAATGCCTCCTCTCTTTTATTTTCACTTTCTGCTTTGAGGAGTGAAATAAACTAACCAGGTCCCTTGACTTATGGGGATTTTATTCTGTACTCCTTATTTCTATTTCTAAATCCTCAGCACATAAACTTCACCTTCTTTTTAATGGTCAAATATCCATAACAAAGGAGCCCTGCTGGTGCAGTGGTGAGAGCACTGAGCTGCTAATGGAAAGATCAGCAGTTTGAACCCACCAGCCACTCCACAGGAGAAAGAAGGAGGCAGTCTGCTTCCATAAAGATTTATAACCTGGGAGACCCTGTGGGGCAGTTCCACTCCGTCCTCTATGTGAGCGCTGTGAGTCGGGATCTACTCCACAGGAGTGAGTTTGATTTGAACTTTGCTTCCATGAAGACTGACAGCCTTGGAAGCCCTGTGGGGCAGTTCCACTCTGTCCTCTAGGGGCGCTGTGAGTCGGAATCGACTTGATAGTAGTAGTAGTGGGTGTGGTTTTTCTGTTTATTTCTTACATATAACTTCAAATTTCCCATTTTAATCATTCTAAGGGGA